CCCCTCCAAATCACGGAAGGGGGCCGAGGCTCCTGGAGGCCATGGCACAGCCGCCCTTCTTTCTCCTCCACTTTCCGGGGCGCCTTCTGAACGTCTCCAGAGGTCGGGAAGTGGGGTGCTCTCAGAACCCCGAGGCTGCTTGCCCTGCGGTGAGAGGCACCTCGGGGCAGCCACGAGCTAAGGGGAGAAAAGTCAGGACGTCCCGAGGCCTGAGTTCCTTCTGGGCTCAGCCACTAGCTCGTTCTGTTCGCCTCTCCGGCCTCAGTTTCCCCGGCTGTAACATGGAAGGCTGGCTTCAGTCTGGCCACCTGGTGGCTCAGAGTGACACTGGCAGATAGATGTCTTCACGCCTGGCCAGTTTCCACTGTCAGGACAGGCCCCGGAGGTTTAAAGGGGAGGAACAAGAGCACCCTAGAGGAGAGACCTCCCAGAACTAGAATGTCTACCAGGGAACATGCACCTGGGGTCTTGAGGCTTCCCTGGAGGAAGAAGGGGGAGAAAGGCTTCCCTCCAGTCCTCGGCCCAGAAGACTGGAGCCTGGGAACCAGGGAGAGGGGGCAGCCAGTGTTCATGACCCTGCAGTCTGAGGGGCAGGTGACCTCAGCCAGAGGCCAGCTCCCAAGGCTGACGGTCTGAGGTCTCATGAGCACAGGCAGCCCGTGCTGTCACGGAGCTTGCACTGGAGTGCCCAGGGCAGCAGGAGGAAGAGCTCCCCGGTGCACACACCACACAGGGCCCAGGGAAGGGCATGGAGCCACCATCCCGGCTCCTGACCTGAACCAGAAAGACAGACTCAGCAAGGTGCCTTCTCTCCATTAGGCCAAATCATATGAAATTGGCTTGTTTGACACTTTTTGACAAACACAACTGGCAAGTTTGAAATGAATCTTTTTTTTTAGAGGTTTTTACTGTAGGGTGCCTGTGCTTGCCAGAGAGAAAGAGAGATAGTGAAAGAGAAAGTGGGAAATCACCTCCTGGGGGGATGGCCACGCAGCAATCCCTTCTCCTCCATTCTCCTCGGGATCCGGGGCACTCATACACATGCGCCCAGTGTGAACTTTAAGACACCAAGTCTGGGACTTGAACTACAGTGAGTCATGTGGGAGTCCAGGGACGTAACTGCTATGCCATCTGCTGGCCCTGCTGTATACATTTTTTAGTAATTTACTTAGGGGCCAGCTGGTGACGTAGTGGTTAAGGCACTGGACTCCCTCTTGGCTGACTGCAGTTTGAGTCCCAGGCCCAATGGCTTGAAGCTCATGCTGGACATGTGTGCATGTGTGCCCAATACCCAAAAGGAGAATGGAGGAGAAGGAACTGCAGCATGACCACAGGGGTTAATTTCTTGCTTTCTGTCTCTCTGATGGGCACAAGATGTGCCCTCTAGCAAAAATCTCTTTTAAAAAAAGCATTTTATTCTATTTATTATTATTATTTTTAAGTTTCTATAGGCCACATGTGCTCACCAGAGAGAAACAGAGGGGGAGAGAGAAAAATGAGAAAGCTAGCCACCAGGTCCGGGACTTAAAGATCCTGACTTGCAGTCAGCCATGTGGGAGTCCAGCACCTTAATCACCACACCACCTATCAGCCCCCTGAATAGATCCTGGAAAAAAATGAAGGAAGTGTCTTTTGAGACTGCAAAGCCTGAAGTGAGTAAATAATAGTCTATTCTTTTTCTGGATTCCAAACTCCAAGCGCACTGGATTCCCATGGAGGAGCCTCTGACCCTCAGTGTAGCCTGACCTGGCACTGGGCAAAGTCCAGCAAGCTCTTAGCTCGGCCTGAGCTCTCTTTAAGAGTTAGGTGTCAGGCCACCCCTAGCCTAGTGGTTAAGGGAGCCGGATCCCACAGGGCCTACTACATTTTGAATCCTAGTCCCTGTGGCTTGAAAACACACAGACTGCCTGTGCTGTGTGCCCGAACTACAGCAGGATGGAGAGCTGGAGGAGAAGAGATTGCCGTGTAACCATGCCACCTGAGGGGTGCTTTCTCCCTCTTTCTCTTTCTCTGTCTCTCTCTCTCTCTGGGGAGTGCATATGCCATCAGGCAATTAAAAAAACAAAGGAGGTATTGAGTGTAAGAAAGACTTTCTATTGCTTGCTTTTCCCAGTCAGTCCATCCCTGAGGCTGGAGTACAGTGAAGTTCACTGCCACCCACCTGGGATGATGGACCCTCTGCTGTTTCTGAAGCACCTTCATTTATCTCCATTATTTCATGATTCCCCCGGCACCCGGGGGAGGAGTACATGTGCAGAGTGCTTCCTCACAGGCACACGCAGTGGCCGTCCTCCCCGCAGCACGGTTCTAGAAGTGTGCTTGCACGGTGCAGCACAGGGCCCCAGGCGTGGGTTTTCCAGGAGGAACTGTGGTGGGGTGGCCATGGCGCGGCCTTGAGAACACTGTTCATTGTGTCCCTCCGTTCTGACTTCCCCGTCCCGAGAGGTCATTCAAATGACTTTGTGATTAAGCCTCTCAGTGAGAATCCCAGAAGCAAATTTCACGAGCTATTTGCATGTCACACCGCCATTAGGTCAAGAGAGCAGCGAGTCAAGGGGGGAACCAGCCGGGTCTGAAAGGCTCTTTGAAAGATTCGGCTTTTGAGAAAGTTCCTGTTGATGTGGAATTACTCCACACTTGGTCTTGCACAGCCTAGAGGCACTTCCTTCTTCTCCAACCAGGATATCTTTGAACACAATCCGTCCCTTTTGGGTAAAGCTGCGAGAGAAACCTTAGAGGAAATACTGAGAAGATACCATTATCTTTCACAGCAGTAACAATAGCAACGGGGCTATTTCCTCCCGGCTGATTCTATCGTCAGTGGTTTGCCACAGCCCCCTTCTCCCCATGCACAATTCAGTCAGATAATGGGCAGGACTGATTCGTTCCACTACAGTATCCATTTTCTTATGTACATGGGTTTTATGACATCATGTGACTGTCGTCCTCAAAAGGTAAACTGAGCCAAAATATGTTCCGAAAAGGAGTAATTTGGGCGTCATTTGGAGGACTGCTTCTGGCAGAATATACTCTACTCGCCCCGCATGTGCAACGAGGTCTTACAATCCTCTAGCAGGTATTTAAGGCAAAAAGCAGAAGCAGAAGGGGAGAGGGAGAAGGGATTATGCCCGACGCTTTGGGACAATCATCTCTGGCTGCCAGGATCGGTAACGAGGCTGGCATCAGCCCAAGGTTGGACTAGCCGTCCCGGGGCAGATGTCCGTGCGTCCGATCGCAGCGGTCTTTGTGCAAGGTTATGGGGTTGTGGTTCTCTCCGAGCTCTTCCAGTAACGGTTCTTTACCAAGCAGGCTAGCGTGAGAAGACACCGACTCCGTGGCCTTCCCTGACTCAAGTTCATTAGGGCTGATAGGAGTTGACACAGATAAAGACATGACGCCATTTGTACTCTGACAACTTTCACATTATATGCTATATATACACACACACACACACACACACACACACACGCACACACACTACAATTGATTTTTAAAAATAATGAAAGATCCCCAGGGTGGGGAACATGCATGTGGAAAGAGGAAGGGCTGGAGCACAGAACTCCTGGGCCCAGAGGCGGTTGGCAAGGTGGTCAAGATGCCGGAGACAGACGGGCAACGTGCAACTCACCAGCCTCATTTCAAGCCGTGCCAGTTCACTGACTTCACTTGTCACTTTTGACTGTTTGTTAAGTATGTTTTTTGAAGAGTTCAGCAAAGTGTTAGTTGATCTGTTTTCATTTGAGCTTTTCATCGACATTTGAAGAAAGGTGTCATTTGTCTCTGCCCCAAATCGCTGCAGTTGCTAGGAAGAGGAGAGGATCCCACCAGGGCCATCTGTCCTGGAAGGAGACTGAGGGGCTGGTGGAAGGGGAAGGCTGGGGGGGCAGAGGGAGATTGAGAAGCAAAGGAGGCACCAGGACAGGGAGACAAAGAGCTGAGGAGACCAAGGAACAGAAAGAGGGAGAGGGGCTGTAGTTAGAGAGACTTGGGCACAGGGAGCTCTGGGCACTGAGGAAGCAGAGGAGCAGGTGCCGGAAGACAGAACAGAAAGTAGAAGTACAAGCAGAAAAGAAAGGAGATCTGGAGGGCGGAGAGTGGAAGTGGAGGGCCTCGGGAGATTAGGGAGCAGAGGAAGGAAAAGGAGAAAGGAAGCAAAATGGAGAAGAGATGGTAGAGAAGGATGAGAAATAGAGATCACAGGTCCTGATTATCCAATTAGAATCAAGACATGGTATCCAATGATAATGGAGAAATGATTATTCCCCATTAGAATATCCTTATTCCTGAGGCAGTATCACAGAATCCATTCCTACGGATGTAAGAATACGCACTGAATGTATTTAAGAAGCATATATCATTATGAGATGTGTTTACACTTACTGAAAGTACTTAAGAATCATATTTTGGGACCAGCAGATGGCATTAAGTTCATGTTGCTGGACTCCCACATGGCTCACCGTGGTTCAAGTCCTAGATCCAGTGGCTTGAAATTCACACTGGGTGTGTGCAGGACCAAAATCCCAAGAAGAGAATGTAGGAGAAGGGATTATGGTATGGCCATCCCCTTGGGGGGGGGGATTTCTCGCTTTCTGTCTCTCTGGCAAGCATGCACACCCTATAGCAAAAATCTCTGTTTAAAAAAAAAAAAGAATACTATTTTAAACATCACTTGATTGACTTTAGCTTTCTTGAAAGTATATCATGGGGGCCAGCAGGTGGCATAGTGGTTACATTGCTGGACTCACACATGGCCAACCATAGTTCGAGTCCTGGACATTGTGACTTGAAAATCACACTGACCTGGTCCTCTGCCCCTCGTGCCCTGCCCCAGTCCTCATTGTGCATGTGTGCCCAAGATTCCAGGAGGAGAATGGAAGAGAAGGGTTTTGGCATGACCATCATTCTGGGGGGTGATTTCTCGCTTTCCCTCTCACTGTCTGTCTCTCTCCAGCTAGTGCAAGTGCCCTAAGGCAAAAAAAAAAAAAAAAAGTACTATCATGGAATGAAATGGGCCAAAGAAAGATTTCTCAATCTTCAGAAATTCCATCTCATCCAACTTAGATTACTTCAAATTTGCAGAGTTAATGAAACAGCTCAGTCTATCAAGATTGCCTAGGTTTGGGTTAATCTCTGAGGTTAAGGCCACGGAGTGACCTGCCCATGCTTTCTCCAGCAGTCACTGGGGGGCCAGTGCACAGTGGCAGCTCACGGGAGATCCACCTGCCAAGGCTGGATTCCCATCCTGACCAGATCACTGAGCTGCCTCAGATGCCATCTCATGACGCTTTTCCAGGTCCTCTGACCCCCACTGCCGCGTTGCCCCTTCATACACCATCAAGGGCATGGGCCGGTCACAAAGCTGGGGTTCTGGCTCCCAACCCAAGGCTTTCCTCAGCCATGGCTGTCAAACAAGCGTGGGCCACTGTTGGCTCACTAGTGCTCAGAGGCCACTGCCTGACCTCCCAGCCTCCGTTTCCATCCGTGAAGTGGGATGGTCGTCCACTCAGCTATTCACACCTACAGTGTTCACTGAGGGCTTCTGTGGACCATCCACTGGCGTAGAGTCCACCATGCAGAATTAATGCGGCCCACGAGAATTCGATGTATCACAGCAAATGGATGACAAATACGGTCTCGGCCCAGCATGCTGGGCTGTAGAAAAGAGGGAGGAAGGCCAGCCCATCTGGTAGTCCCACATGCCGTCCTCCCCACCCCGGCCCCAACCTTCCTGCCACTGGTTCCCAACGACACCTTCCGCCCCTCGCCCTCTGCTCAGAGCCGCAGGACAGTCACTTCCCCTGCAGCAGCTGCCCCATCACCAGCCCAGGCCCCCCACACATGGACTTCCCTCTGCCTCTCCCCATCACCAGTGCCCAGGCACCTCCCATCCTCCCCGGCCTCACAGAAACTCCAGGCTTTGAGCCGGGGGTCGAGCTCACAGGGTCAGTTTCTTCCCCCACACGTACTCCCGGCTACTCCAAGAGGCATGAGTGGTCATGGATGGGCCACATGCAGGGGGCAGTACAGGGCCTGGTGCCCCATGCTGCCCTGTAGTTGGAGAGAGAGGACCAGGTGGTTCTGGTGCCTGGACCCTCCGCGAACAGAGGCCACCCAGGCCTATGTCCAGATTCTCGGTGTCCTGCAAGCTAGCTGTTCTCTCCCCTCCGTGCTGAAGCAGCAGCCTCAGAATGGGAGGCAGGTTGCCCTGGCCATGTGGCCAGGCCCTTTGGAGCTGGGCTGTGAATTCTGAGTCCCAGACACCAGGCTGGCCTGACCCTCTGCCCCTCATGCCCTGCCCCCGTCCTCAGTGGGGTCAGCACTCTCCGTCTTCCCGGAGCACTGAGGCCTCTGCTGACCTGTGTGGCACGGGTACCTGGTGAGCGACCCCTACTCTGCTTCTCCAGGCGGGCCTAAACCTTCCTGTCCCATCAGAGCCTGCCCCCAGGCCCACTGATGCCTCAGAACAGAGATCTCCTTTCTCTTCCTCCGCCCCGCCCCTGGAAGCCAGCCAGTAAGAGATGCCCTCTTCCCTTCCTTCCCCTTCTTCCCAGACTATTTCTCCTGGCCCCCTCTCTGAAGACCTCTCCCCAGTTTGGTACCCAGGGCCGGCTGACTGCTCCCAGGGTCACTGCCTGAGATCCCACAGCCCCTGGGGTTAGTGCTCTGTCCGTGTGGCCTCACTGTGGTCCCTGCTTTCCCTCAGGACAAACTGTGGGGCAGAGGGCTTTCCTTAGAGGCAGCCACGTGAGACGCACACCTTCCCCACAGGAGGGGCATTCGGGTGGGACAGAGGCAGGGCCCAGGATATGTCACCCTTCCTTGTGAACCTGGCTCCTCCATCCTTAGAACCTGTTCCTAGCTGAGGCCCCGGGCCCAGACCACAGGGCTTGGGGAGGAAGCTTCTGCTTTCTGACCACAGTGTCTGGCCTCGCTGTGTTCAGACCCAGACGTTTGCTGAAAACACCCAGCTTACCATTCCTCTTGGGGAGTCTCCAGGGGTTCTCCAGAAGCTTGGAGGCAGAGGGATGGAAATGGAGGCCCATGGGTCACTAGAGGATGGACACCCTAGCCCTTCTGTGTGCTTCACTGTTACACCGAGGACTCTCAGCTCTGCTGACGAGGAAGAAATTCAAGGCTGGAGAACTCTGGCTTAGTAGGCACCTTGGAGGACACCGAGACCCAGGCTTTGCAAATCTGCTGCTCGTGGAATCAATGTGCACAAAGCCTGGTCTCTCGTCCTTCTCATCTGCCGTCGATCACTGCAGTGACTCAGGCCACCCAGACGCCATGGCCACTGTGCCCACTCATGTCCTGGAGGTGGGCCTGGCATGAAAGAGCACCAAGCAGCTCAGTCCTGGGGACCCTGGTGACAGTGCTGCACACTGCCCGGGACGGTGCCTTCTAGTAGTAAGGCTGGCCTCCACCTACTGCTGGTGGTAACACAGCAAACCACAGACACAGTGGCAACTGTCTGGTCGGAGTATTCTTGGCATTGCCACGTGGCTGTGAACCACGGATGTCCCGGGAGCACATGAACCCACTTGATCTCACCAGTATCGGAGCCTCCCCAGTTACTAATTGACTCCCTGAAGTTCAAGAGAGTGATGAAGTAGCTGAGGTGGAAGGTCCTGGAACAAAATCACAGCTAACTGCCCCACCTCCCAGTGGCCCTGTTAGCTGTAAAGGTGGCCCCTGTATGAGGGCCAGCTTCCCCCTCCAGGCAACAGGACTGGCCTCATTGTGAGTGGCAGCAGCTGACAGGACCCTCCCAGAGCCCAGCCTAGTAGGCACCCGCCTGATATGCCTGGGCATCCCCCCTCAGGCAGCCTGGGCCGGTGCACAGCAGACAGACCCTCTGAGCAGCTCCTGCTCACGAGATCCCTCCCCTGGGAAGGCAGGGCCTGGGACTATCCGGCCTCTGCACCCCAGAGCACAGCACAGAGCCTTGCCAGGAGCAAGTGTCTCTTGGCTAAATGAATAAAGGCGCTCATTCAGGGGCGTGGCTAAATGAACTTAAAGGAGGCAGGACTTTTCCTCTCCCCATTTCAACAGGGCCTGAGGGTTGAATTGACAGAAGACAGATGAGCAAGAGAAAAGCACACACGTCCCCCCCCCCCCCGAGAAAAGCACACACGTCCCCCGAGGCATGGGAGCCCTCACAAGGAAATGACCCAAAGACACAGTTAGGGTCGGTCGCTCGTACAGGGAGCTAGACAGTGGTTAGCTGTGAAAGCCAGTAAAGGTGCCGGCCAGGGTGGCTAGTGGGATGGAGAAGTGACTGGGAAAATAAGGGTTAATTTAACCAGGCCAGCCGGGGTGGAGATGGAAAGAAGGCTGTTCCCCTCGTGGGATAGGCCGGCCATCTTCCACATGGGAGTTCCAGTTAGGGTCGGTCGCTCGTACAGGGAGCTAGACAGTGGTTAGCTGTGAAAGCCAGTAAAGGTGCCGGCCAGGGTGGCTAGTGGGATGGAGAAGTGACTGGGAAAATAAGGGTTAATTTAACCAGGCCAGCCGGGGTGGAGATGGAAAGAAGGCTGTTCCCCTCGTGGGATAGGCCGGCCATCTTCCACATGGGAGTTCCATCTCTTGCATTCAAGAACCCGAATGCAGGTCAGAGTGATCTTCCTGCACCTGCTGTTTTGTTTTATTTTTAAAGAGTTTTGCTATAGGGCACATGCACTCACCAGATGGAGAAAAAGTGAGAAGTCACCCCCTGAGGGGATGGTCATGCCACACTTGCTTTCTCCTCCCTTCTCGGGATTCCGGGCATGTACGGACACATGCCCAGCTGCCAGGTTTCAAGCCACCAGATCCAGGACTTGAACTGTGGTTGACCATGTGGGAGTCCAGCACCTTAACCACCACACCACCTACTGGCCCCCTGCTGTTTTCTTAAGTGCCTTCTGTTTATTTGGGGTGGCGGGTTCCCTCCAGGACCAAGGCTGGGAGAGCTCAGAGGCCCGTCTTGCCCGTTCTTCCCAGGTGGACTCGTACGACGTGACGGTGGATGAGGAACTGGGTGAGATCCAGCTCATCAAAATCGAGAAGCGCAAGTACTGGCTGCACGACGACTGGTACCTGAAGTACATCACGCTGAAGACGCCCCACGGGGATTACATCGAGTTCCCCTGCTACCGCTGGATCGCCGGCGAGGGCGAGATCATCCTCAGGGATGGCTGCGGTGAGCAGCTCGGAGCCCCCAGGGTCTGGAAGGTCTTCCCCTCCTCACAGAACCGTATTCATAGGAATAGGAGCACTGCACCCCTGGGTGGGGCACCTGTCAGTGCCTCGTGCTCCTGCAGGAGGTGTGAACTTCCTGGGGTCCTAATAAGCCCCAGGGTGAGGGGCATGGTCCCAGGCCACACCCTCCCTCCACCCTGCAGTTCTACAGAGGAGGGTTCTGCTCTCTTTCAGGTCCCTAGTAGCAAATACCCATGGGACGCACCACTGGCAGGCGGCCTTCCAGTTGTCCACGTGATGACATCACTTTTCAGATTCCCAGACTGTCCCCTGGGGGTTCATGTGGGGCTCAGCTAGGCTCTAGGCACCCCCCCCACACACACACACACACAGGCCTGGGGAGGGACCGAGTGAGCTAGGAGCATCCCAAGTGCCAACTCTCAGGGGCCATGGGAGACCTAGAGCTCATAGAAGCCAGATCTTAAACCCGAAGTTGGGAAAGGCTCTGTTGAGTGGTTCATCTGTGGCCCATGTGGGAACAGGTGAAGTGGCTGGGGTCAGAAGATTCGCTACTATAGTGGTTCTTCTCCATGTGTCTAGCACCTGAGAGCTCCTTGGCCCATATCTCCACATAGCATCTATTTTTTTTTATTATTATTAATTTGCCAGAAGATTCACACACTTGCCAGAGAGATGGGGGTGGGGAAATGATGGGGACGTGAGAAAGTAACCCCCATGGTGAATGGTCACGCTGCAATCCCTTTTCCTCCATCTCTCCCTCCCTTTGGGATCTTGTATTTCAAGCTGTCACGTCTGATTCTTGAACCACGCAGTCAGCCATGTGGGATCCCGCTGCCTTAACCATGCCCCTGGCTGGCCCAATATCTCATTCTTAGGGGGGGATTTTGAATGTTTCCAACACAAGTTATGACCAGTGGTTGCGAGGATGGGTGTGCTGATTATCCTCAGTGAATCATCACACATTATATTCTTGTGCTATAAAATCATTATACCCCCACAATTAAGTACAATTATTACACGTTCATTTCAAAAGTCTTTGTATATCTCAAAAAAAAAAAAAAAAAAGCCTCAGTTTCCTCGCAATAAGATGGGGAGTGTTCCGAAGCTTAATTGAGATGGGCAGGGCATCAGAGGATGTCCGAACACTGGACACAGTTCTTCCTCTTCATCTCTTCTCACACATGCTGTTTCCCCACAGCGAAGTTGGCCCGAGATGACCACATTCACATTCTCAAGCAGCACAGACGTAAAGAACTGGAGACACGGCAGAAACAGTACCGGTGAGTTGTGACATCGGGCCAAGTGGTCATGGGACCGTGGTTTCCTGCCATGGGCCATGCAGGAAATAAGCTCTCATCACAGCATAGGGCAGTCACGCTGGTAACTCCCTGAGGCACCAGCTCCTGGTGGAGGCACCTCCCCCAGTCTCACTTTACCTGCATTCCAGGCAGAGATGCTGAAGAGTTGTAGGGGAAAATAAATAAATAAATAAACAGGATAGTGCACATAGGACGATGGGGCACCAACAGCTTGAATTACCTTCGTGTCCTCCCACTTCCGATCATACAGATTACCTCTCACTTTTTCTACCTTCTTTCAATAATTCAGTTACAACAGTGAAACGTAATAGGCAACAAAATTGAAAATCTATAGCTAACTGGGCAAGAAAAAAAGAGGACCCAAATGATTAAAGTAAGAAATAAGAGAGGAAGGCCATTAGGGCACAGCAGTAACACAATGCTCTGAAATCCTGAACCTACTCAGGAAAGTCTTGGGCCACATCCCAAGGGCTCTGTGTGCACACTGGGCTCACGCTCACATGCTCATGATCCAGGCTGGCTGAGGCGGGCAGTGGGTCATGGCACGGAGACCCATTTGGTGCCTATCTCTCTTCTCTCTCCTTCTTTCCTTCTCCCTTCCCCTTTTTAAAAGGAATAAATATTTAAAAAAAAATTGCCAGAGGGTACATTCACCAGAGAGAGAGGAAGAGAGACAGAGAGAAAAGAAGTGAGAAAGCACCCTGCATGGGGGTAACACTGCAGTCCCTTCTCCAGCTCTCCTTTCAGGATTTTGGGCATACACACACACACACACACACGCACACACACGCACACGCACAGCATCATTTTCCAAGTCACTTGTCCAGGACTTGAACTGTGCAATCAGCCATGTGGGATCCAGCCACCTTCACTATGCCACTGGTTGGTCCAAAATGAATACATTTTTTAAAATAATCTTTTTCAAAAGAAGGGGGGAAAATCAAAATTAAAATGACTACAAAGAATACAATGAACACCTATATATAAAAAAATTAGTTGACTTAGATGAAATGCATAAATTAGTTAACAAATTAGCATAATAATTTACTTAACCACCCAGCTGACTGCGCATTTAAGAGTTTTATAAGTTTTTCTTATTCCTATAACAGTGTGAAAATCCTTATATATGAAATTTGTTGTTCATTACTAAGTATTTCTTTAAGATAGGTACCCAGAAATGAAATTACCAAATCAAATCGTGAATGTTATTAGTATACATTTATAAGTTTATCCTCAAAAATCTTTTACACGTTTTCATAGCAGCGTTTACGTATTCATATTTTCTTCTTGGTAAAGGCATGTCTCATTTCTTAGATCCTTCTCCTTCCACATGCTCAGATCCACTGCAGTCCACAGGGTGAGAACTCTCCCCACTGAGAACGCAACTGCCCAGGCTCAAAGCTATCTTTACTCCAGCTTCCTTTCCATAAAAAAATTGTAATTAAATTTAAAAAATAAAATTCCATGCAACAGAATAAAGAAAAGAAATGGACCAAACAGACATGTCTAGAGTAGCTCCAAAGCATATCACCCAACAAATACAGAATATACATTTTTCAGCAGCACATGTAACACTTTCTAAGACTAACTACATAATAGGGCACAAAATAAGCCTTTACAAATTTCATGGAACAGAAATCCTATCAAACATCTTCTTTGACCATAATGGAATTACACTTGAAATCAACAAAAAGAACTTTCAAATATCCACTAATACATAGCATGTTCCTCAAGGATTTTGAATCTACTGAGGAAATCAAGAATGAAATTTAAAATTTTCTTGAAACAAATTATAATGCAAATACATACTCCAAAATCTTGGGATATAGTGAAGACAATACTGAGAAGGAGTTTATAACAATGAGTACTCACAAAAAATAATAAGAGAAAGACGGCAAGTAAACAATTTAACAATGCATCTCATGGAATTGGAAAATAAAAAACAAGTGAAATCCAAAAAATGATAGAGGAGAATAATAAAGATCAGAGCAGAAATAAATGAAGAGAACAAAAGAGCAATACAAAAATCAACAAGATAAAAGCTAGTTTTTTGAGAGGATGAACAAAATTGATAAACTATTAACTAGACTAGTGAAGAAAAATAGAGACAAGACCTAGATAAATAAATTAGAAGTTAAAAGGGGGATATTACAACAGATATGACAGAAATGCACTGATCATAAGTGAATGCTATGAGCTGGAAAATCCAGAAGAGATGGACATATTTCTGGGTAAATGTACTATATCAAGATTGACAGGATAGGGACTGGCAGGTGGCATGGTAGTTGAGGTGCTGGACTCCCACATGGTCAGTCATGGTTCAAATCCCAGACCTGGAGGCTTGCTTTCTCACTTTCTCTCTTTCTCCCTACTCTCTCATCAAATTAAAATAAATGTATAAATAAATAAGACAAAATAAACAATCACTTTTTTTTTTTTTAAAGATTTACAGAATCAGGACCAGCAGAGTTAGTGTAATGGCTATGTTGCTGGACTCCCATGTAGTCGACCGCGGTTCACCTCCTGGACCTGGTGGCTTAAAACTCACGCCAGGCGCATGTGCGCGAGTGCCCAAGATCCCAAGAGGAGAATGGAGGAGAAGGGATTGCGGCGTGGCCATCCCCCCGGGGGGGTGATTTCTCGCTTTCTGTCTCTCTGTCTCTCTGTCTGTCTGGCGAGCGCACACATCCTAATAAAAAAAAAAAAAAAAAAAAACAACCCTCCAAAAAAAAAAAAAAAGATTTACATAATGAAGGTCATGTTACATTTGTTGTTTTGCATATGTTGAACCATCCTCAGGGATAAATCATACCTAGTCATGGTGTATAATCTTTTTAAAGTGCTGTTGGATTCAGTTTGCTAGTATTTTATTGAGGATTTTTATTTATATTTACCAGAGATATTGGTCTATAGTTTTCTTTTTTTGTTGTGTCTTTGCCTTTTTTTGGTATCAAGGTGATGGTGGCTAAGAAGAAATGGAAAGTCCAAATAAACTAATAACAAGTGACAAAATTGAAACAGTAGTAACTAGTCCCCCAACAAATAAAAGGTCAGGTCCAAATGGCTCCACTGCTGAATTCTACAAGTCTTTTAGAGAATTAACACCAATTCTCCTCAAACTATTCCAAAATACACAAATGGAGGAAATCCTCCCAAACTCATTCTATGAATGCACTATCATTTTGATATTTAAGCATAAAGCCCCAAATCATAAAATTACTAGAGAAAAATACTAGAAAAACACTTCAAGACATTGAAGTAGGCAAAGATTTCTTAGATAAGACCCATAAAACAAAGGCAATAACACCAAAAATAGATTAGTCGGATTACATCAAGCTTCTACTCAGTGAAAGAAACAATAAACAGAGTAAAAAGCCCACAGAATAGGAGAAAATATTTGCAAACTATTCTTTGGATAAGGAATTGAAAAACAGAATGTATAAGAAACTAAACAGCTCACCTTTAAAAGGAATTTATAATCCAATAAAAAAATAGGTAATTGATCTTAACAGACAATTCTTAATGGAAGATATATATTCACATATAAATGGCTAAAAAGCATACGAAAAAATATTCAACATATCTAATCATAAGGGAAATAAATGCAAATCAAAACCACAATGAAGTATCACTAACCTTTGTCAGAATGGTTATGATAGAAAAACAAAAACAAGTACTAGCAAGGTTGTGGAAAAGGAACCCTTGCACATTGCTGGTGAGAATATAAATAAGTACAGTCACTGTGGAAAACAGTATGGAAGTTCCTCAAAAATATAAAAATAGAACTTCCGTATGATCCAGTAATCTCACTTTTGGGTGTTCACCCAAAGGGTAAGAAATCACTATCAGAGAGATACTTGCACTTCCATACTTATTGCCGCATTACTTATAATAGCTAAGAGATGGAATCAACCTAAGTGCCCCAAAACTAATAAATGCATTAAAAAAATATGGCACATAAGCACAGAGGAATACTACCCAGCCATAAGGAATAATATCTTGTCACTTGACACAAAGTGGACAAGCCTAGAAGATATGATGCTAAGTGAAACAAGCCAGGCTAGGAAAGACAAATACTGTACGTCCCCACTTGACAAATATGAATGTCCACACACTGGTGGACACAGAAGGGCTTGATGGCATGGAAGTAGAAAGAGTAACAGTAGATCCTAGAATCTAGACAGTAAGAGTAGTGTGGAGGTGTTCAAGGGAAAATGGCTACAAGCACGAGAGAAGGGGAATGGGCTGTGGAATGGTGTTCCAGAAGCAACAAATCTAGCCATTCCATAAAGTTGAGAATTATACCATCTAGGTAGATATAGTAGAACGGTAAGCAATAACAAAGAAAGAATTATCATAAAAATCTAGGATGGTGATTCCCAGGGGTAGGAGCTGGGGACTGATTATATTCTGATTTTTTACCGGGGTGGTGGTTATGCAGGGGCTTTGTTTGTTTTTCTGCATGTGGGAAGAGTATATACATATGTATCATACAAATATGTATATACTCTATTTTATTGGGCCATCAGGAAAGTTATGATGCACTTTTGCATAGAAAAATAGACAAATACATCATGATTTTCCCAATGACCTAATAATAAAAAAGCTAAACATAAAATGGCATGCCTTTAATGCCAGGTGTAAGAGAGTAATCTGGTTTTACTCCAGGTGATGCTATGGATATATGAATTCACAATTAGTTTTAGAGTGTATCCAAGCCTCTCGACACAGACACCACATGGTGTTTTGAGACTTCTTACTTGGCATGGTACATAGGGCATAGTCCGAGAGCTGTGCCCTCCCCGTCCCAAAGGGTTGGCATTTCTGTGCTCCTTCCTCAGCTTTCATCCCCTCTTCAACCACCCACCCGATGCCAGTTCTCCAAGTACATCTAGCCTCATAGAGCTGAGTTCAGACAAAATGCCTGCAAGATTAACTTAGTTTGTTGTCACTCATTAACA